AGACGTTTACATAGGGACTCTGGTACAAAACAAAAGTTTGAGTGTATGTTAACACTGATCATGAGATACCGGATATTGTGAGGTTTCACCTGTACACCTGTACAGGTGTTCAGTGTGATAGGTATCGAGAATCTCTCACGAAGATACGTAAACATACCTACTGTTCCACTAACTACTCATTCTCAGCTTACTATACTGTTAAACTAATGGTTTCTCGAGTCTATTTTCAATCTGAGAAATACAATTCACCTTTGAGTCATTACCAAATTAACACAAAGACAGGATGACGTTGTTGAATGCCTCCTTAAAAGGCAACTCCAAACTTACTTTTTCTCACATTAGCTTGACCCAAATGTTCGAAAATGTGCTCTCCTCTCGGGCTGAAATGACCAGGTAACGAAAAGCCAGGTTTGTTCAACGATAGGTTTGTATAGTTAACATTTGTGTGCGGAATATTCCCGTAACAAGTACAAAAAACCCGCACTTCTGGTCCATCCAACGCTATTTATGCTTCTGTTGCTGTGTTCTTGAAGAAATGAAACGAATGAATGTCCAGCAATTAATTACAGAAATGTAACACACAACTTTTCAAAATGGCGCCAAAAAGAAATTAGTTTATAGCATGAAACCGCTGACCTGAAGGATCGGAACTATGACGGCATGTGCAAATAATAATTTGTTCAGAAATAATAGAGGTTTCTTGTTTTAAAGGAACTTTCTAATTTAGCAAAGTAAACGAAATGTTGCGATCAGAAGTGGTTCAAAAAAATTTAAAACATCGCTATTTTCAACTTATTGTGGTTCGTGCAAAGCCAGAGGCTGATGGATAGAAATTTCTCGCCTTTATGCCTGTATGCTTTTAGTTTTCATTATCTGTGTAATGAGAAAAAGAGTTGACAGGTGACTTTCACATAAAACTTCAGTTGTACAAGAACTGTTCATTTAAGGAACAAGACAAAAACTGTGGTCACAGGGCTGCTCAGGGGAATAGAGTAAACAGCATTCCTGGCGTGTAATGGCTAAGATCATGACCTCGTCTACTTTGCCAATATAATATGTTAGAATTGAAGACATCAATAGTAAGCAAGCACACGAAAGAAACCTGCATCTTTTTTTAGGCGCAGTCGTTAACAACCACCAATAACACGAAATTCTTTATTGCCTTTTCTGGTTGACATTTGTATTTAAAATTTATAGTAATAGACCGTAACGCTTAGCGAGTTCTCCGTGACCAGTTTTTGCGTATTGAATGAACGACTTGGCGGCCAAAAAGTAGTTCGTTTTTCTAATCTCGGCCTGAACACCGCAGGAGAGAAACCGTATCAGTCAATCTTCGTCGAAGTCTTCTCTTAATGCGGACAGTTCTCCTTCTTAGGGCTGAACCGTACTCACAACATCCATTTCTTCTTTGCTACTTGAGTACGACGCATCACTATTGTCGGAAGAGCTAGCTTAAGGCTGGTATATATCGCGATTGGACATTATTTTTACGGTATTTCAACGGTAAGTATTACAAAATTACAGTTGCAGAGATGTAAGTGATGTTTAAGTGTCAACTGAGAGTTTTCACAGTTTTCGACGTTATCTCCGGTTTACCTCGTTACCAGTTTAAGGGAACCACTTAAGACAATTGCAAAATTAAAGCTCTTTTGGGCCTGATAGAAAACCGAGTTTTATTTTTTAATTTTTTTTATATCAGAACTTCCCTTAGCTCTGAAGCTGGAAGATAAACAACGCAGTACTCCTCAAACGAAAGATGTCATGCGTCATCTTTCAGCATTCTTTTTTTTTCCCTTGAATTATTACCTTAATATGCAAAGGCACGTGCCTCTGAACTCTGTCGGAGATACTGCACCTTCGGAAAACTTGAAACTTATTCGCAAGATCTGTCAACAAAAGGATGAATAGTTAGATCATGATAAAAGATCCATTCGTCGCGGCTTTTGAAAAGCAAGATCCAGTTTTTGTTGCGCACGCGCGGTAAATTTACAGAAAGAGGCCATGTTCGACTCACATGATGACTCCAGCTGAGATTGCAAAAACGAGTGTCACTAAAGCTAACTTCAAACAACACTCCTACAAAGGACAACTCTCATCCCGACGATAAGACAACACGATCAAATAGTACCTATGAGTTCACACCATTCGCACTGAAAGGCCAGTTTAATTGATAATGCAGATGACAATATCATCTACCTTATTAATGGCACAGTTGATGTAGTTGCCATAGACCAAGTAATGTCCTAGTCTCTGAGAAGTGGGTTGATTGCACATGAGGGGAAATTCAAAGCAGTGATTTTGAGAACACACCCTTATGATGACACCTTGAAGCCCTTTATGTTGGGAGACAAAATTATTCAATACACATCTTTTCTTATTTGCCTTCGGGTAACAATTGATAAAAAACTCTCCTGGGACAAGGATGTACAAACAGCTGCTACATCATTCACTGTCACCGAGTTTTATTTTTTAATTTTCTTATATCAGAACTTCCCTTAGCTCTGAAGCTGGAAGATAAACAACGCAGTACTCCTCGAACGAAAGATGTCATGCGTCATCTTTCAGCATTCTTTTTTTTTCCTTGAATTATTACCTTAATATGCAAAGGCACGTGCCTCTGAACTCTGTCGGAGATACTGCTCCTTCGGCAAATTGAAAGTGATGTTAATTACAGGTGGTAATGCAGGAAGAGGCTATTTTTTATTAGTTGCGCCATCATTTCCCTGTCGTTTTTCATGAAAATTGTTACATCTGATATGGTTTCCTGCTGCTTAAGACGGTAAACTATTTATGATAGAGGAAATAAGGAGAAGTTGAAAATATGCACAGTTGAGTGTAAAATTAAGTAGGTCTGATTGAAACACCATACTGCCTAATTCTGATAAAAATTTAAACGGCAGGGGTTGGATGACTTCCAAAACACATACCTTTCAATGGAAAGAAAATGACAGTACAGTTTCAGCCTCAGTGATTTGGCTGAAGGGGAAAAAATTCCGCACCAAAAATAACACTTTGCTGACAGATAACTTCTCATTTCCTGCCCTTTATACCCTGAGAAATAACAACGCTCAAAAGTAAGAAAACAAAGATAACGTTACTGTTTGCAGCTTGACCGAACGCGTGTGCTGAAAGGGAAAATCCTTTGACACGTTCGTGCGTGATTCTTATTTAATGCCTTTGCGTCGGAAACGCAGAAGTAATACCTTCAAATTACATTTCGTTATCGTAAACACAGCGAACGGTGTTGCGTGCGTTGCCTTCAAAGCTTTATTTTCGATCTTTTCCTGCTTAAACTGGCAAGAGGCGAATACAATATACAAAACAAGTCATTAAGTATTGGGCAGTAAACCCGATTATCTATGCTTCAAGTTTAAATAGTTTAGCGACACTTGTCATCGTAGATAAAAAAGAGAGAAAATAATGAGACGGAAGATAGCTGGCATTGAGATTTTCTTTTTGAAATTTTGATTACGTAATTCACACATTTAACAAAGAAATCGGAAGCTAATTGCAGTGCGAGCCGGGACGCTATATCAACCAGTTGGTTTCTTGTTAGCGCAAGGAGCGGTTGCCTGACTGGATCGCTTGTTTGTTTCGCTTCCTTTTTTGATAACTTGAGGTGAACGACATGACGTATGCAATCACATACCAAACGAGACAACCTACTATACGAGACTAATTTGCCGATGTAAATCAGTCAAAGCAAGACAATTCAGATTGTAAAGATTCGTGACAAATAACGCTGCTGGAGATGCTGACCCCTTTGACATTTATATCCTTATCTTAAATTACAGTGCTAAAGGAAGTTGAAGTACACTGCATTTAAAAGGCTGTCTTCCACATCCTTATCTCAATTTGAGCAACCTATTTCAGTAAGAGGGTTAGATTCTATGGGCTTCCTCATGAAACGTGTGGGGTTGGTTTCAGCGTCATTTATATTCTCATTTGTGATCGTCACATATGGTGAGTACGAAAAATAATATCGACTGCATCATACAAACTTTTGACAAAGCGGGTACGAGCGACAGATTCTCGATTTAAGCACATATCTGAGCAAAAGTAACCTCTCATACATGTTATGCTCAATTAGCTTCCCTTAACGCTCAAGCTGGAAGATACACAACCCTGTTCTCTCAAAACGAAAGCGCAGTTAGTTTTAAGTTTGTGACACTGAAAAGGAAACGTTCCTTTACATATACTTATTCTTGAGTAAGCCAATGGAAAGGGGGTTTTCAGGGTTTTCCTTAACGAAATGAACTTTAAACTGTTAGTTTCTGTCTTGAAACTCTTGAACATTCCCTCGCTTGTGATCTTCACATCTGGTGACTGACGAAAACTATAATACTCAAATCACTTTAAAAGTTGACAAAGCTAGCAGTTGTAAATTTTGATGGCGCACACACGGTTTCGGATCTGTGTCAGACATCTCATTGAGGAAAAGAGATGTTTACCTTATGCAAAGAGCAGTAAGCTTTCTTTGGCGCTGAGGCCGGAAAATAAGCCACGCGTTACTCTCAAATAAAGCGGAAGAGGGTGTTATCCGTCAGCATTTTGTCATTTTCTGCATCGCTGCCTTCATTTCTAAGAGTCTGCCTAATTTCCGGAAAGTGAAACAAGACTATCCATATTCATGACAAGTTAAGGATATCACTATAAAAAATTGCGATAAAACATTTCTTAAAATCATTTTAAGATTAAAAAAATTGCTAAAAAGCGACGACGTTTCGACGTTGGCTGAGGTACGTCGATGATATTCTGGCTAGAATGCCTAGCGTTGATGTTGCTGCTGAGTTTCTTAGTACCCTGAATGGCCTACACCCCAGTCTAACATTTACGATGGAGCTTCCTGTGGATAACAAGATCCCTTTTATTGGCATTGAAATCGTCAAGAACGGAACTAAACTTGAAATCAAGTTTACAGAAAACCAACAAACACCGGATTGCTCCTACATTTCCAAAGTCACACGGATAAACGCTATAAAGACTCTTTATTACAGACAATGATACATCGTGCCAATTCCTTGTCGTCTACAACAGAGGCTTTCAATGCAGAATGTGCCAAGTTGCGCTCTATATTTAGTCGCCTTGACTATCCAATGAGTGTTATTGATTCTGCTATCAAAAAGTTTCTTTTTCTAAATTCCTCAGCTAACAAAGCAGAAAGAAACAATGATGATAGTAGCACAGTAAGAATTAGTCTTCCTTTTAAAGATCAAGTGGCCGCTAATGCGGTTCGTAAGCGGTTACGCGATCTTAGCCATAAGATTGGCCCTACTTTGCAACCAGTTTTCGTGAGCAAGAAATTGGGGCAAGACCTCAGACCCAAAGAAATCAAGCCGTCAATTGTTAATAAGCAGTGTGTTGTTTACAATTTTTCATGTGATCTGTGCGATGCAGATTATGTCGGGTATACAGCCCGACACCTTCATCAACGCATTGCTGAGCACAAAAATTCGGCAATCGGTAGACATTTCTTAGAAGCTCATGGTAACAACAACCTTTTGAGAGAAAGCCAATTCACGGTTTTAAGAAAGTGCCAGAGCAAATTTGATTGCTTAGTATTTGAAATGCTCTTCATCAAGAAACTTAAGCCCAATTTAAATATTCAGACGGACTCCATACGTGCGAAACTCTTTGTTTGATATTTTCTCACGTTACAATTTTTTTATCATCTATTGTTGTTTTTTTAGTATTTATAGACCAAAAATCACTACTTATTTTGACTTGATAATGACGTTCAGCCAACGTCGAAACGTCGTCGCTTTTTAGCAATTTTTTTAATCTTGAAATGATTTTAAGAAATGTTTTATCGCAATTTTTTATAGTGAAATGCTTTTCAAAATCGCTTCTTGTAAGTTAAGGATAGGTGACCGTAAGATGGGCATAAGGGTCAGCATCATTGGCCATAAGATAGGCATAAGGGTCAGCATCATTAGCCAGATTCTCAAGGACAGCTCTGTCTGTTCCGATTGAGCCATTTGATATCTACTCATCCAATATTTAGATATTTTTTTTATTATTTACAAGATAATTCAAAGAGAATTATAATACATATGGAAAAGCACATGCCCAACAAATCAGGAAACCCCAAGATTGTTCAAGGAATATTAGGACCTAACGTTATACACCACAGGATCATTAAATTAGCCTTTCTTTGCAAATAATTTACCATTATAAGGCGGAAACTATTTGTTTCTTAACTCAGGTCATTTGTTGTAAAGGGATTGTACAATGTGACATTAACTCGCCGTTCGTCTCGGAAGCTTGACGTCAGCTGTCTATTTTTTTTTTTAAGGCTCCACGTGTGATCAACCAACCTCTCCTAATGGCTCAGTCATCATTCATCCCCCTCAGCGAGAAAAGTACCAAAACGGCCAAGTAATTCTCTTTGGCTGTAGTCAGGGTTTTTATCTGGATGGAATGCCAATTATAACATGCAATGGGAACAAATGGACACGGACACAATTCCGATGTCTTGGTATGACGTAAATTATCTTTAGAATAAAACAAAATGTTCTATAACTTTAGATCGGTATCGTTTAGTGGTTCCGCATTTTACAACAACATTCGCTAATTCGTGCAAAAATGTTTGCATGTCAAACTTTTCAATTCCAAGATGTAGCTCTCTAGAAATATCATAGATAATCACTACAGAGACAAAGAGAGCTCTAAAATGAAGATGAAAGAGGTTTGGTTCCTATTTTGGTCTCTTGTCACCACCTGTGTACCGGTGAAAAGATATAATGCTTTATGCTCAACGCAAGATAGTTTTTCATTGTCAATTTATGACAAACACTGAAGACAGCTTAATCAGAAGTATTTTTTAATTTTCTCCACCTAAAAATTTTATTGTTTCATTTAGGGTTTTGTCCGAAGGTGGGTAACATTTTAAATGGTAAAGTATCTCATGTGACTCCACAAGTTGGCAAGGCTGCCATAGAATTTCGCTGTGCTAATAACAGTTTCCAGCTGATCGGTAAGACAAGGTTGGAGTGCATAGATGGACAATGGAATGGAAAGTTACCCTATTGTCAAAGTAAGTCATCGAAACGATCGTAAAACTTATATCAAGTTATCGAGACGATTGTAAAACTTGTATTAAATTATCCAGACGATCGTAAAACTCACTTGTATTTTAATGCAAGCTAATTAGCTGTCAAAGTTTTGATGCAATTTTAAAAATTTGTATCAAAACTTTGACAACTACTCGACATTTATTTTTCTTCTACATTTATTTTTCTTCTACAGAGTTGCCGTCGTGTGTTCGTCTGCAAAGTCCGGCTAACGGTACACTACATGGCAATGACAACAGCCATGGTGCAGAAGCAAACTTCACTTGTTTTACAGGCTTTGATCTATTTGGGGCTTCGGCCTTAACATGCAACAAGGGCGTTTGGAGTTCACGTGTTCCAACTTGTAAAGGTAAGCCGTCTTATTTTCCCTGACCAATCGACCTCTTTATAAAGGGCCTATTCCAAATCTTCAGCACTAAAATTTCCGGTTCTTTTATCCTTCTGATGCGCCATTTGCATCTGAGAGCCGAACAGGTTTGATGTTCATGTACTAAAGCATTGTTCTATGTTCATTTCTCAGCTAACTGCATGAAGATTATGGATCTCCCAAATGGTCACGTGTTTGGCACACGCTTCTCCCATGGACAAGTGGTTTCTTTTAACTGCAAATATGGCCATGAGTTGGTTGGAGATCGCAGTCTTCGTTGTTTTAATGGAAGGTGGAACTCTTCTGTCCCGCAATGTAAAGGTTAGTAATTCCTTGACATCCCAGGGAAGATTTTTACAAATATATCTTAGCTAATAGATTGTGCGTAGCATATTCTTTCATCGAATTTGAAAGCGAATCTTTCATCCATAAATTTTTACCAGGAGAAAATGGCTACAGGAAGAATCTGAACCATTTTCTCATAAAACAGATATTTAGGATAAAAGCATCAGTTTTAGTTGCCACACTCACATTGGTTCTGTCTATGCGTATTTTATCGCACTATTCTAAATGATTGTAATATCAAGCAAAACAAACCCAAAATAGGCTCTATTATATCTTTTATATCAATGAAGCAATATAACGCATGGCTAACGTACATGAAAGAGGGCAAATAAAATACCTGGCTAGATTACTCAGTCACAAAGGTAATCTACATTTGTGACTGAGTTTAGATTTTAACTAGGTTTTAACTAGGTTTTAAATAGGTTTTAAATAGGTTTTAAATATGTTTTAAATAGGTTTTAAATAGGTTTTAAATAGGTTTTAAATAGGTTTTAAATAGGTTTTAAATAGGTTTTAAATAGGTTTTAAATAGGTTTTAAATAGGTTTTAAATAGGTTTTAAATAGGTTTTAAATAGGTTTTAAATAGGTTTTAAATAGGTTTTAAATAGGTTTTAAATAGGTTTTAAATAGGTTTTAAATAGGTTTTAAATAGGTTTTAAATAGGTTTTAACTTAATAGTTGTTTCTGAACATTGCTCTTTGTTTTTTTCCAGTTATGCAGTGTGCAAAACCCTCCATTCCAAGTAATTCACGCATCATATATCCACGAACGGATCAAGTGAGTTACACAAACGGTACAACTCTTTATCTGGCCTGTCATGAAGGTCATCTTTTGACGGGATCGCCGATTATGGAGTGTAACTATACCACCTGGCTGAAAAGAGAATTCAAGTGCATCGGTATGTTTTTTATCCAGTTAAAAAAGTCTATTATCATGTGACCTGTTTCACCTCCCTCACGCAATCCTGTGGGAAACTATGATAAAACTGACGAGTGGTTTACGCGAGCTGGTCCTGAAAAATTTTTCTGGCCACACTCTTGCGCGGTTCTGTTGCACTTTCCGAGAAGGTGGTTTATAAAAATGACAGTAAACTCACGACAACGTTTTCCATGAATTGTAAATTTGTTCTGATCCGAAAAAAACGAGATCTTTTTATTGTAAGATCTTTTTGGTGGTCTTCCATTGTGCTCCTCTTCTTATTTAAGTAAGAGCCGGGGCGCCCTAGCGGAGCAAATTCAAATGCATTCCAATTTTTCGCGTATCCAAAATTCGAAAAAAATTTTGGCGGCAGTCGCATCAAAAATACATCGTTTTACCATCAGCACTGATTACCACATACATCAATCACAAACCCATCTCGCTCTTAAAAGAAACCAAAAACACCTCGTGCGGTAGCTTCAATACCTGCGATGGAAGGAGTATTTCTCGAGTGATGGCAACCATGGTACGAGTCGAAGAAATGTGAATAACAGCGGCGCTCGAGTTCTTCGTCTCCCACGAAAAAAAATGGGTAAGATGGACCAGGACCAGTGCCTTCGCGTGCACCAACTGGACTAGCGGCGGACCAGAGTATTTTTTTCTCGCTGAAATTTTATCCAAACATGTCTTGCGTAACATAATAGCTTGATGGTTAAAAATTTTGACTAGAATACGAATAGACTGAATACGAAGCACCCTAATTTTTAGCTCGATTCTCCGATAGAGCGCCTGTGCAATGATAAAGAAAATGGAACCGGCTATTATCCGTCAGAGGATGTTTTAAAAGTAGTCACTTTTGTGGCCAGGTTTCGACGCCAATGAACCTCAGCCCACGCCTAATACACACAGACTGTTAAGGCTCTCTTCACTTTAGTCGTGATGGTAAAGACATCGTTGTTACGTCAATATTTCAGGCAAAACATTACGTCGATGGATAAGTTTTACTGAAAAGGGCTAAAACTGAGCTATTCATCGTATCTTTCTAGGTGGTAAATATTGTGCTTTTTTGATCGATTAATGGTAGTTTTACTTCCTTTGTGTTCACAGCTAAAAGTTGTGGCAGGCCACGAATCCCTCTCCATGGCAACATGAAATCACACGTATTTACGTTCCGTAGTAAGGTTTATTTTGAATGTAACCCCGGCTTCAAATTGGTTGGAGACAAGTATCGCCAATGTCAGGCGAATCAAACATGGAGTGGACGTGTGCCAACCTGTAAACGTAAGAAATGATGCTACTTAGTGTTTCATTAGATACTGTTTTACTGAGCAAATGGAAAGCTCTCGGAGAAAGGGGAAAGAGCGTGAAAATACAAATTAGGGACTCAGCGAGCTCCTCCGAAAGAAAGGTATCTTGCAAACGACAAGTAACATTCATGCCATAGATTTCTTCCGGGACGAATCTTTTGTGAAAATTCATATTACCTGTTATCCTCCACCACAGTCCCCTCTCCCCTCTCCCCTCTCCTTAAACAACTTAAAAGTTTTATTATGGTCAGTCCTCAAAGCGATGGAGGAGCGAACAAATCGGAACTAAGTTTATTTGCTGTTGCTTTATAATTATCTCCATATTTTTCTTTTGTCCTTTAAAGCAATCGATTGCGGTAGGTTGTCGACTCCACATAAAGTTTTTATAGTTTCGGAAACCAGTCACACGCGACTTGGCGGTTATGTGAAATATCGGTGTAAGGAGAAAGGCTACGAGCTGATTGGCTCGGAGACTCGAGTTTGTCAAAACGATGAACAGTGGAGCGGAGTTGAACCTTCGTGCCAAAGTAAGTACTATTCTTTTGCAAACTAACTTTAACATTACACTTATATTCAAAAGAGAATGATTCAATATACAAAGGCCAACCTACATCCTTGACGCATTCCTGTCTCGCTGTTGTTCAAACTTAGTTTGGTTATGAATGTGTGTGTTTCATGAAAGCTTGCGGTATTCCAAATGTCCCAGAATGCCATGCCATTTTTTTATTTGGCGTTTAATCTCATTATCACGTGAACGTTTGTGCGGCTAATAAAATGAAAATTACGCCGTCTTAATGGATATGTGATAAAGTAAGTGATCCTAAATTTTAAAAATAAAAATACACGCGCCCGTGTATTCTGAAGTATTTTAACCTTAAAATTTTTTTTTACAGTTATAAACTGTGGGAATCCAGATGCCGCAGCTAATGTTAAACAAATTATAATTACAAATGGTTTTGATTATGGTAGCTCGGTGGAATTCGCTTGTGAGGCGAATTACATTTTGGAGGGATCCAAAATAATAACCTGTGGAGAAACAAAAGAGTGGAGTTCGACTGCCCCAAGTTGCCTTGGTGAGTAAAATTGTTACTAAAGAATCGTAATAGTCCATTTTACAGTGGCCTGATTGCCTGCCAAGCCTTTGAACAGAAGTGAGGCTAAGCTTGACCTTGCTATGATACAAACGTTATTGCTTGTCAAATGTAAATTACTTTGTTAGATCAAGTTATGCTTATTAGATATTGGTCTCTGTCACAACATGGTCACCTTCAGCCTCACTCCAAATCAAAGGCTTGGCAACTAAGTTCACAACTGTGAAATGTCCTATTGAACGACGTTGTGGTATAATGGCGCAGGGGAAGAGGGAAGGGGTTGCTCATTATTGATGCCAACTTCGGAGCTAAACAAAAGATTAAATGCTACTAAACAAAACAACAACAACAACAACAACGAAAATCAAGCAACGAATAAATATCTAAAAAAACGCAAGAGGGAAAGATATAAATTAAAAGGTGAAAATAGCTTTGGCATCAACAGTTTTAAAGTAATAAGTAATGTTTATGTATTGATTAACTCGACTGTTCAGTCGAATAGTTTTCAGATCGTATAGTCATGGGCCATTTAATCCATTTTTCCTTATATTCTCTCAGAGCTTGTTTTCTCATTTCTTGAATACATTACACGACAAACGGATCAGAATGCTTACATTTACACGAAATGTACCTTTCAGCTCCATGTTCAGACCCTGGTGAGCCAGGGAATGGAATAAGAATAGGAGATGACTTTAGGCATGGGAAATTCATAAAATTTATATGTGATGACGACTTTGAATATGTTGGGGAAAAAAACATTCAATGTTTGGATGGAAAGTGGAGTCACAAGATACCCCAGTGCAAAGGTAAAAGATGTATTAGATAAGAACAATAATGGTTGTTCTATGATTAATAAGCCACAAAAGTAATCCAATAGGAAGATGTGAAGGGAATGGAAGATATTGTTCATTATGGTTCTATAGTTAAATGAACGATTAATCGTTTGCCTCACGATGTGGAGTCAGGCTATCAATCGCATTAATCGCTTCGTTTCGACTTCTACACTGCTAATCTTCGTCAAACGACGAGGATGAGAGTTTATTATTTTAGATTTTTATTTATTTAACATATTTGTAATATTCAAGGTACGAACCATTTTGTTTTTTGTCAATATCTTAGATTAGTAAATTATAATTAGTCACCCTGTAGATATAATTATGGGTTTTGTTATTTGGTCTTTGATAAGTTATGTATATGGCCCTTTTTCCTAGAAATCTCGTGCGGAGATCCAGGAATACCAACACATGGGAGGCAAACAAATGTCGTCAAAAACTTTGCTTTCAGAGGAACAGTAGAATTCCAGTGTGATAAAGACTACACCTTGCACGGCAAATCATCTCTTTCTTGTCAAAGGAACAAGACGTGGGATGGAGATGTTCCAAAGTGTTTAGGCAAATATCTCTCTTGTGATTAAATATTTGAGCATTCAGAAACTTTAGAACACGATCAAACGGTTTCGTAATGTTGAAAAGCAATATAAATAAGCTCGAAACGATTTCCTCATTTCATAACAAGTTATCACTTGATGGTCGTACACTTCCATAATTTCTCGTTAGTTTCCATTGCAAAAGTACAACTTTTCGGGAACACGCTTCATTAAGTCATGGTGCCTTCAGCTAAAAATGAGTTTTGTAGCACCCGCTCTATTTATTAGCGATCGAGATATCGATTTTTATTTTATGATACAATTGAAAAAAAAAAAGGTCTCACGCTTTGTAGTTTAAGCAAAAAATTCAAGTGCTCGGTCAAGCAGGTCAGGAAGAAAGGACTCTTTTGGGGAGGTATGATAACCCCTTTTGTTTTTAGTGGAAAGCGACTGTGACTGAACGTTCTCCAAACATCTGGCCTACATGATTGTACTGACATTCCATATAATTCGCTTTAAGGATGGTTAGTGCAGCTATTTAGCCCGCGAACTGCTTTCTAGCTCGCGAGCTGTTTTCACTCACGCTCATAGGGTATGATTTTAGACAAATGCTGTTATTTTCATTTTTTTTTCTATTTTGCATTTTTAGCATCCTGCTCTGACCCTGGTACTCCACTTCACGGGGAAACCATTGGAAGTGCTTTTGAACACGATTCAGTCGTAAACTTCCAATGTTTATCCAATCGTGTTTTAGATGGCGCCTCGAGGGTGAAATGTAACAACGGGCAATGGGACGCACAGCGCCCAACATGTAGAGGTTTGAAAGTTGTCTTAAGTAATTGAACATCGTTGATTTGTTAGAGAACTAGAAATTTTAAAGAGTAATATGGCCATGATATGTTTGGTGCAGTGTAGTAGGTAGACGCTAGTTGTGAAGAAGCAAAAAAAAGTGTAGAAGTCATCCAATTCATGTTATGGTAGACTTCTTCCTCAACACGTGACATTGTCACAGAGAACTGACACATAGTGAACGTTGGGCTAAGCTCAAAACGTCAGCTATAGAATCTTTCTACAATGGCCAATTCACATTTTCAACTCAGCTGATTATACCAGATCATCTTGTAGTACTTCCCGACGACTTAGCACCACAATTTCTTTCGAAACTTACCACCCTTAACACAGCATTGAGAGTCCTCGAGAGGTTAACTGGGAAATGACCAAAATTTTTATTGGTAAAAGATATTTATTTTCCTCATTCACTCTTACGGTTGAATATTGTTACGACACAACCGTCCATAATAACACGCGCCCGGAAAAATGAGCGATATACGAAAGTGTATGACCACATTCGCCCGTCCTTTCGCACTCCGCTTTGTCAGAAATGTACAAATATAGTCGGTTGTTTCGTTTGAAGCTTCAGCAGCACGGAGTCTAGAGCCTGGGTTACATGCTTAGGCAAAAACTCAGTGGAGTGACAGCAACAATATTTCGTTGTCATGTTAAAGTCTCTCCAATTGGAAGCCTTTAAAATGGAATTGAAACTACAGAAACTGGCGGCAACTTGCATTTTGGAATTTGTAGCTTATAGCTCATTGTCCACTTTATTTTTACGTTTAAGATTGCGACGGACCCCTGAAAACCTCCGGAAGACATATCAGCTGTTCAAGCGAAGGACGTAAGGGTTATACTGAGATAAACCTCCAAAAGGAAAATATTATTACGGCGGCAAGTATCCAGCTGGGACAAGATAAAAGAAATGTTCTACAGATTCAAATAACAGCGCTTCTTTCCAGCAAATGGGTACAAATTGTCAGACCTTTCAAGGTAAAAACCTGATTACAATATTTCCTCTTATTTCCCGTATTTTTCTGCTCTGGACTGTGGAAGAGTGATAAAGTGAAATATGAAAATTTGACGATCAAGTAGCATAGTCATATTCGCTAGCACAAGTATAACATTAGATTTTTACACCAACAGCCATCTTTCAGTGAAGGAGTGAAAACAATTAAACTTCCTCAACCAGTTATTGCTCAGTCTTTGCAAGTTCTGTTCATCACCAGACAGGGACTCTCTAGTTGTTTAACACCGACATTATATGGATGTGATGCAGTACGTCGAGGTTAGGCTACTTAGTTCATAGATGAATTGTATCTTTAAGTTCTCTCTCCAACACTCTGTTTAGATAAACATCCACAAATTAAAATGGAACGGTTTCATGACTAAAATGTAGAAAATTAAAACGTCTTTTCTTCTAAAATCACAGTGATTAGCATTGATGGTTGCATAATGTATTAAATAAATCCTTTATACGAGAAACTGTTCCGAGTTCAGCTTGAGAATCATCTCATTTTTATGCAATAACTATCCGTATTGTTGTCTCGCCTCACGTTTTGCGTCCTTGTCTTTTTAGGTTGTATCATGCCAGGCTCCGCAGTCCTATTCAAAGAGGGAGGAACATATCGTAAGGGGCGTTTTGCGTCTGTCCGGGGCGTCAAGTGGGAGGTCGTTAAAGGAAAACGATACAAATATTTAAGCAAAGATGACATACTAATACTTGATGAGAAACTTAACGTCAACCAGCTATCTGAAGGCACTACAGTCGTTGGAACAGATTCGCGAGGAAAAATAAAGGGGGGAAACATAAAAAGATCATGCAGTTCCACTCACTGTCCTATTGAAACAAACGGTAAAGAGTGGCAGAGCAAATTAGAAAACGTTCGATTATTCAAAGGAGAATTGTGTAAATAGTTCAATTTCAATGATATATAAAGTGTCTGAGCGGATGTTGGACTGTATTGAACAATCTTGTAAAATTTATCTTTCACTTTTAACGGACGCACCAAAGGTAGGCTATCGTTAAAAGAGGATTTGTGGAAGCTCGATCCGCCAACAAGATCGAAGCTTCGTGTTCACTCAAACCCTACATATATTTTGAAGAAAGTAGACGACTCTTGCCACTAATTTTTCTAGGAAGAGAGGAAACATAAAAAGATCTTTCAGTTCCACTCAATGTCCTATTGTAGAGTGGCAAAGCAAATTAGAAAACGTAAGAGTATTCAAAGGAGTGTTGTTTAAATAGTTCATGTTCGACTAATACATCAAAAGTTTTTACGTCCTTATGGGGGTGGGGTTGGACTTCATTGAAAAATCCCCCATCTTCGACCTTTGAACCAGCTACCTGAAGGCACTACAGTCGTTGGAACAGATTCGCTGGGGAAAATAAAGAGGGGAAACATAAAAAGATCGTGCAGTTCCACTTACTGTGTAGGGTGGCAGAGCAAATTAGAAGATGTTCGAGTGTTCAAAAGAGAATTGTGTTAATAGTTCACGTTCATATGTTATATAAAATGTCTGAGCGCATGTTGGACTGTATTGAACAATCTTGAACAATCTATCTTTCACTTTTGACGGGCGCAGAAAAGGTGGGCTCGTGCTCACTCAAACCCTACTTATAATTTAAATAAAGCAGACAGCTCCTGATTGTGCTACTGTACGTGCTCTTAGATTTTTACCTTTTTAATTTCTCTATGGAGCATAGGACCTCTAATATAAAATTCCTATACTCACTGTGTTGTAAGGGCTATACGAATGACCTCTAAAAATGCATCTCTGCATTTATAAATAAAAACTGCAACAGATATTTGACAATTTTTAAAAGACAAGGTTGAGCAAAATATCGTGGCAAGCAGATATACAATTTGCCGAAGCCGAGACGATATTACGCATAGGGCAACCATCATTCAGTTTGTAGGCAGTTATGGCAAGTCACATGATAGCGTGTTCTCCCGATTAAAAGAGACAAAAATTGAAACGGCATCGAGTGATGATGTCCTATAAATGATTCCCACAAACTTAATTCGAAGCTCGATGACGTCTCGCTGACACTGAAACGGAGCCGTTTCTTGAGGCAATAGTTTAACCAACACCCCCCCCCCCCCCCCCCCATAAAAAATAAAACTTGTTTGATACCTTTTTACCGTTTTTTTTTTTTTTTTTGGTGAAGTTCGCACTTTCCTATGCATAATTGTTTCGTCAAATTTATGTTGGCTTTCTAGGTAAATTTAACTTCTGTTTAATGTTACTTAAACAAGTAAATTTCAATAATTTTGTTTGGAATGTATTACTTAGTTTTGATTTACTATTGTCATCAATTAATCCGTTGATTTTAACGAACGGTTCGGCTTTAGGCATTGATGTCTAAGCAGTAAGAGGAACAAGGGAAGTGTACATGTTGTGCCGCCGAAAACTGGTTAATAAATGAAAACTGAACATAAAACTGGTTTTATCGATATAAGCTAATTAAAAGCACTTAAAAGGGAACCGTTTATGACAAGTCCTTCCAGTAAAAATAACTGAACTTCGAAAAATCTTCGTTTTCGGAAAACGAAGATTTTTCGCATTTACTAAAGCAGCATTAATCTCTTCTGGATGTTTCACGGAAAGTTATGCTTCAAGAATGCTAACGTGACGCTCAGTCTTTGCAAGTTCTGCTTTTCACCAGACAAGGACTCTCTAGTTGTTTAACACCGACATTATATGGATGTGACGCAGTACGTCGAGGTTAGGCTACTTAGTTCATAGATGAATTGTATCTTTAAGTTCTCTCTCCAACACTCTGTTTAGATAAGCATCCACAAATTAAAATGGAACGGTTTCATGACTGAAAAGTAGAAATTAAAACGTCTTTTCTTCTAAAATCACAGTCATCAGCATTGATGGTTGTATAATGTATAAAATAAATCCTTTAGACGAGAAACTGTTCCGAGTTCAGTTTGAGAATCACTTCATTTTTATGCAATAAATATTCGTATTGTTGTCTAGCCTCACGTTTTGCATCCTTGTCTTTTTAGGTTGTATCATGCCAGGCTCGAGGACACTTATTGCTGTATTAAGGCTGGTAAGTTTCGAAAGAAATTGTGGTGCTACGTCGTAGGGGAGCACTACAAGATGATCTGGTATAATCAACTGAGTTGATGATGTGGATTGGCCACCGTAGAGAGATTCTACAGCTGGCCTAAACTTACTCGGAGCCATTCCGTATGGCAATCGTTTGAAAATATTCCATCCCCCCCAGAAACAACATACCGGTTTGATACCTTTTTAGAGCCCATGCTATTAAGTCGCTACCTTCAACTCCTTATGCATAATTGTTTGGATTGCGACTCCTACTCTTTTTTTGCGAGTGTTAGGATAGTCTATGACCTTTCGGTGCGTTGTAACAATGCGCAAGAAATCACCCTCGCCTCTCTATCTCTCTCTATTGTTATTTTTTACTATTTTCTGTCTTTTTAAAAATTATTTAAAAATAAAATTAACCTGTTAAAACAAAGACGTGACGCTTTTGGAAAGTATCCAGTTCTGAAAAATAAATAGCCATTTCTTAGTAATGATATTATAATCCGCTTTAGCTGGAACAGCGCGTTAACGAATGCTATATATATATATATATATATTTATATCTTTTAAATGCTTAATAACTTAATGTTTTGTTAGGGAGTTATATTATAGACGAATGGGAGGGATTTTCTATAAAAGGCTCGAACTCGGACTTCAAAAGCATTGATTCACAATTTTGCCATCGAGCTCAAAGCAAGACACAGCCCGATGTGTTTTTGTACGTGTTTGATTTGCCTGACCTCGATCTCGACTTCGCATGGTTTAATTAGCTCTCTGTGTAACCCCAATTTAATTGAGAAAAAAATTCAGTCCATATAAACAATAACCAGCTTTCCTCGATGAGTCAAAGTTGTTGTATATTTTTTTTTACTCTGATCATTTGCTAACGTGTTGACGTGTTGACAGTACCAGTCTAATCCAGCTTTGCACGTCTGTGGAGCAAAAGCATTAAGGGAAGTCGTAATCATAAATGAGTACATTTTGGCAAGTTTTCAGACAAACGCACTGAAGGTTAGCCTCTGACTATTTTTAAATGTTCAGCTTCAGAGGAAGTAAATGTTATTGTAGATCAAAATAATGCCCACATCCAAGTTCTTCGTTCGATGTGAATCGTTTTAGTGAAGACGACGTATTTTGCTTACGAAATGGACTAACTTGGTTACGAGAGAGTCAAAGGGAATGAATTTGTCTGCTGCTTGTATCGTTTATGTTTTAGTGGTTTTATCCCATTGTGGATCTGATTGTAAGTAGCGGGGCAACAGAAAACGTTGCTTGTTTTACTATGTAAAGACCTCAACTTTATTCTTTCTTAGCTTTACTTTAGGTTAATTATATATTAAGCTTGCGATGAATGTGGATTATATGGGTAGGGTAATACAAAATCAAAATAATTCTAAAAAACACCGACGTGATAGTAGAAAACATTCTATCTAAAAAAATTGTAACTATTGTACTTAACGCTAAGAATAGTGATACATTTGCGTTCAATTTTTCACGGTTCAGCTGAAACTTAATCAAACTTTAGTAGATGTCAAACTGAAAGAAAAGAGATTTGCAGTAAATAAGGAGGCAAAATGTTTCTATTGCAAGGTACTTGAATAAGAGACAGCAATAGCGAAACATTAGATTACATTGGGACTAAGATTTGTTTTTGGATTTTAGGGTGTTTACAGAAATGTTTCCATAAAGTCTCATACTAAGATGTGATACCTTTATGTGAATGCTAACAAGTTTCTAAATTTTAATGCACTTGGCTGTAGTTCTATTTTTCACTTCCGCGGTAATTAAACTCGATCCGAGACTTAACCACAAATTAAAAATTGGTTGACAAGAAAAGCGAAGTTATGAGATCTTATGATAGTTGCACTAACAGATTGACACGATTTAGATTTTCGGCTGACATCACTGCCCAGTTTGACATTAGCGAGATTGTCGGAAACTGTAAACAAACATTTCGTTGTTGCGTTAGACCAAGAGACCGGAAACACGTGAGTAAGGAACCAGGAACTTTGTGTTTGTTAGGGAAAGAGGTCGTCTTAAATGTTCAGCTCGTTAGTTGATCTGCAGATGTAATTGCGGAGACTTAGCCTTCTAGAATAAAAAAGGTGATTTAAGAGGAAACGTGTGTTGGTACATTTTCGACAGGATATCAAAGCAAGAACATTTCAAGAGAAGTTAACGCACACTAAGAACTAAACGCGAGCTAATAACGAAATACACTCGCTTTAAATGACGAACCCTATTCAAAATTACGGTGACGCATTCTTGAAATGGAAATAAACTCCTATATTACATATTGTAGAACGTCAGTCATTCTGGTTATTATATTCCCTTTTTCAGTCGGAAACAGAGTCAAAAGTCATTGTTTTCTAACGATGGTTAGAGCACTTTGCTGCAAAGTTTCGTCGCATTCAATTAAATTTTGTATGATGCATTATGCCTTTATTAATAGATATTGGTGAACCACAATGATATCATTAAGCTATTTTTTATACCAAGTCAGCGCTGTGGAATTTGACATCCTTTCGTGTGTGAATGACTCCCTCAGTGAAAATAATTAACTCAGTGGCCCATTTAAATTTTACAACATTTCTCATGATATTGTATTTTACTCTTCCCTCTTCCCCACCTAGCATTTCTGCATTTACAGTTTCCTTTAAAATAGCAGAGGTAAAATATTATAGCACACACAGCGTTGATGATGGGACTGAAAAGTGTTCCTCATCTATTGACTACAACCACAGGCGGCCCGGGAAGCTCACGTCTCGAGAAGAAGCAAACGATTAATTCATAAAAGCGTCACGCCTTGTGTGACTCGGTGTTAAGTTACAAGAGGGACTGTTGAGAATTTGAACACGTCATAAGAGTAAGTTCTATTGATTTTACGCGTAAAATGTTCATATTTCGAAATATTTATCGTTGAAAATCGACCATATTTCGTTCCCCATACTATTCCTTATAACGTGTACAAATTCTCAACGGTTCCTCTCGTAACTTAACACTGAGTCACACAAAGCGACAAATGTTAGAGGGGGTTAGTGGGCTCTATGGTATGTGGCGCTCATCAATAGTTTTTTTGCTCGTGGCGCGCCATCACGTGATGAATCACCTGGCTTTATCTACTATTGCTTCATTTGTGTTGACCTTATTTTGAAGGATCTTCATGTCAGCCTCCAATTTCTCCTTATGGTTCAACCATCATTTATCCTGCCCAGCAAGGAAATTACAAAAATGTCAGCGCGGTTGTCTTTAGTTGTAAACATGGCTTCTACCTCACTGGGCCTCCAGTAATAAAATGCATTGGGAGCACTTGGACACCAGTGAATTTCAAGTGTTTTCTAAGTAAGAGCTGTTTTTTTTTTCGTATCGAACGATGCTAATAGTTGAAGTATCAGTAAGTATCGATGCTGATAGTTTAAGTAATGTTTAAAAAACGAGCAGGAGTGTTTTATCGGGTTTAAAACCACGAGGCGTAGCCGAGTGGTTTTTGACCCGATAAAAGTATCGATGCTGATAGTTTAAGTAATGTTTAAAAAACGAGCAGGAGTGTTTTATCGGGTTTAAAACCACGAGGCGTAGCCGAGTGGTTTTTGACCCGATAAAACACGTGCTGCGAGTTTTTTGAACGGCTTTAAAAACATTCTTGGAAAAGCGTGTGTCAAGAGAGTTCATAACAATTATGCTTTTGTGAACGTTATAAATTAGCATACGAGAAAAACATTAGGGATTAAATTAGTATGCAAGAAAATCAAATCTCACACGTGTTTTGTACTTTTTTTCTAATCTTTTCTTCTGATCTTGAATTCGAAGTTTCAGATGATGCATTGTCTTAGTATTACTGTACTTATGGAATAGAGAATTTTTCCAGATGTGTA